CTTTAGAGCATTACTTGAGTATGAAGTTCCTAAAACATAGTTGAGGAGGAGTTCTTAGATAAATTTTCTGAAGATGTGGAAGTTCTGCCCGATTATTATGTCCAGAAGTTCGATGTGAAATAATCGATTCACTAGAAGACAGTAAACTAATAGTGCCTTCGTGGATGAGGATATGCAAGTTTGATGTGAAATAATCGATTCACTGGAAGACAGTAAACTAATAGTGCCTTCGTGGATGAGGATATGCAAGTTCTATGTGAAATAATCGATTCACTACAAGACAGTAAACTAATAGTGCCTTCGTGGATGAGGATATGCAAGTTCGATGTGAAATAATCGATTCACTAGAAGACAGTAAACTAATAGTGCCTTCGTGGATGAGCCATTCTAAGCCATTCACGTCTGTTCATCAGGAACTGCAGAATGGCATACGACAGGTGTGTGGCATTTTAAACTGTCCACATCTGTTCATCAGGAACTATAAAATGACATACAACAGGTGTGTGGCATTCTAAGCCATTCACATCTGTTCATCAGGAACTGTAGAATGACATATGACTGGTGTGTGGCATTCTAAGCCATTCACATCTGTTCATCAGGAACTATAGAATGACATATAACAGGTGTGTGGCATTCTAAGCCATTCACATCTGTTCATCAGGAACTGCAGAATGACATACAACAGGTGTGTGGCATTCTAAGCCATTCACATCTGTTCATCAGGAACTGCAGAATGACATACAACAGGTGTGTGGCATTTTAAACCGTTCACATCTGTTCATCAGGAACTGCAGAATGACATACAACAGGACACTTCTTTCATGCATCTCATTTACTACCTAGTCAGAAACAATGACCAGTTAATTATAAAATAAATGAGGAAATTAAAATACCTCACATATCTATGAGAGCATTTAATATGTTTATAAAACAGTCACATCCTTCAACCAATCAGATCAGTTATGTCCTTCAACCAATCAGATCAGTTATGTTCCTCAACCAATCAGATCAGTTATGTCCTTCAACCAATCAATCAGATCAGTTATGTCCTTCAACCAATCAGATCAGTTATGTCTTTCAACCAATCAGATCAGTTATGTTCCTCAACCAATCAGATCAGTCATGTCCTTCAACCAATCAGATCAGTTATGTCCTTCAACCAATCAGATCAGTTATGTCCTTCAACCAATCAAATCAGTTATGTCTTTCAACAATTCCATCACCTTATGTTCTTCAACCACGTGATCAGCTCAGTTACGCTCTTCAACGACGTTACCTGCTTAGTTATTCCCTTCAACCACTCAACCATATTAGTTGTGTTCCACAACCACATGACCTGCTTATGTCCTTCAATCACTAGTCAGATTAATTAATCTGACCAGGTGGTTGAAAGACATAAATAATCTGACCAGGTGGTTGAGGGACATAATTAATCTGACCAGGTTGTTGAAAGACATAATTAATCTGACCAGGTGATTGAGGGACATAATTAATCTGACCAGGTGGTTGAGGAACATAATTAATCTGACCAGGTTGTTGAAAGACATAATTAATCTGACCAGGTGATTGAGGGACATAATTAATCTGACCAGTTATGTCCCTCAACCACCTGGTCAGATTAATTATGTCCCTCAATCATCTGGTCAGATTAAATATGTCTTTCAATCACCTGGTCAGATTAATTATGTCCCTCAACCACCTGGTCAGATTAATTATGTCTCTCAATCACCTGGTCAGATTAATTATGTCTCTCAACCACCTGGTCAGATTAATTATGTCCCTCAACCACCTGGTCAGATTAATTACGTCCCTCAACCACCTGGTCAGATTAATTATGTCCCTCAACCACCTGGTCAGATTATTTATGTCCCTGCAGAGAAAGATACAATTTACTGCTTTATTTTACAAATGACAGATATACAGAAAATAAACATAACGTGTCTGCCTCATCCAAATTGTTACAAGCTTTTACTGGATGAATATTCCTGCTCCTTTGTAGTTACTGATACAAGCCATATAAAATTATCTATGGTAGATATCCATGCTTTAGTCACCTTGCAATAGTGTTAAATGTTTACATCACATTTTGCTATCTTTTTTCTATCTTTATCAAAAACACTACTAATGTTTAATGTGTAAAAATATTAAATTACTTTAATTAATTACTCTTAATGTACTAAATAATTAAATCACCATCAAACTAAAACTTTATAAATGTTCTTTTACAAATGGATACAAATCACCCTTTTTTTTCTTACTACTAGTCGAAAGTCATGAAAAGTGTTTGAACATATTAACTTTTAAAACATGCATGTTAACTTCTTATCTTTAACAACCTTCTGCTTAAGATGCCCTTCGTACCTGTGATGTGGGTATTTTAAAATTAACTACCAATACCAAAAAAATTGTAATACCATGACATTTCTGCACATTAACTCAATGACACTGTTCCATAGACCCCCCACAGGTTCTGTGTATCAAAACATGAAAAACTGTTAGACTGCTTAAGTGATCCACCAGAGCCAAGAATCACTGTCTTTCATCTTAAACTATGTGCTTACACACACACACACACAAAGTATAAACTGAGGTAGTTATAGTTTCGTGTTGTTACAAAGAAATATTGACACAACCCGATTAAAATCTTTTGGACCTAAAGTTTTATTGAGTAACAGCATGTTACCAGCACTATACAGTCCCACAGTCTGGCAATGTACAGCACTATTTACAGGTATGATTTTGTTCATGTCGTTACTTCGACACGGTGGACATACACACACACAGGTCTACAGTGTGAACTGGATCTATACAGGTTTCTTCTATTTGCAACGCTTCACTGACAAAAAATATGACTCGGAACCTTCTATATTATTACTTCAAGTATTGTTCAAACCAGACGTACACCCAGTTCAATCTGTCGAAAGCAGTTTCGAAATGTAACCCCCAGTTTACACACGTTACTACAGTAACAACCCTAGATTTACACATGTTGAGTTAGCATTATAACAACCTTCTCATTTTTGTACACCGTCAAATTTATACAAGCCGAGTTAAAATTATATCAACCCTTAGTTTGTACATCATGAGTTAGCATTAAAACAACCCTCAAACTTATACATGTTGAGTTAAAATTATATCAACCCTTAGTTTGTACATCATGAGTTAGCATTAAAACAACCCTCAAACTTATACACTCCGAGTTAGCATTATAACAACCCCCATATTTATACACGTTACATTAGCAATATAACCCTCAGTTCATACATCTTGAGTTAACATTATAACAACCCCCATATTTATACACGTTACATTAGCAATATAACCCTCAGTTCATACATTATAACAACCCCCATATTTATAAATACTGATTTATATAATTGTTTGGGTTTTTCTTTCAGAACAGATTGAACTATTTTTCGTGTTGGACAATACCGTACCTTTCAAGAACTCTTTAAACACGCCAGACCAGTTCTATAAATTAACACATCAAGATCATTTCATTCCACTCGTGACACGCACACACACAGTTTGGGGCCCTTTAATACTATGACTTCCAGTTATATTGTAACAGAATTTCTTTGAATTAATTACAGACTTATTCAGTAAAGAAGAACTTTAACTACACTGATCGTATGCTATCAGTGCAGTAACTAACACTGGTAATTCACATCTCAGTAATTAAGATGAGTTGGATGAAAAGTATCTTATGAAAAAAATCACATTAATACTAAAGCCTTCGAACATAATTATTAACAAACACATTAAAATGAACAAATGGAAATACAAGTAAACAATATACAATTAGAACAAGGGTTTTTCAATATATGTTTTTTTTCTCACCAGCATGAAAAGGAGTCCAAACGGTAAGTTAGATGACTATACTTTAGACTGCTTCTTCTAACATAACAATGATATTTAAAAGGAAAATTTGAAACTTTTTTTTTTTCAGCAGCAAAGAAACTTTAAAAATATTTTTTTTGACAAAGATGGACTTTTCAAAAAATTAAAAACTAACAGAAGTTTAACTCGATATGTATTTTACCTGCAAATGTTTATCTAAGAATAGTTTTTCCATTTTGATAAATTTATGACCAAAGTTCAGTACATGGACTATGGCGCACTCTGGTTGCTAATTGTAGAACAACTAGAATTAAACATATGCTGAAATTTCCTCAGTGCAAAAATAAAATAAAAAAAAGTATTTTGTAATTGATAAACAGGATTAGAAAAAAAAAATGTATTCAGAAGAAAAGTGGATGTATCATTGGTATATTTTTTTTTAAGGAAGACCTTCACATACTTAAAATCACTGGTTCCTTTACAATCAACCTTCTTAAACTTTGAGTATTCTAAACCAAGCAGCCACCAGTGGATACACACTTTTTGTTTTTTGATTCAGTAATAATTGTTAAAAACTTTGCTGAGTTATCTGACAAAATTCTACTACATAGCCAACTTAAGAGTTGGAACAGCTGATGGCTATCACAAGCCTAGGAACTGGAACAAAATACTTGTTAATCATATTTCAAATAAGAACACCTATAAGTTTCAATCCAATATTTTGCACAAGAAACTATCAATTCCTAGCCACATTCTACGTTTTAATTGAAAAATAAAAGAAGTCCGGTTTTCTACGATGCATAGTTAAGAAACAAATTGGTTCTATCACATCAGACTTGAATGTCAGTTGGATGTGCAGTAGGTATACTTAAAACAACTACACTTTAAACAAGGTAATAACATTAATTGTTAACACCATGTAGAGAAATAAAAACAACAGAGAAACACGTGTCAATAGAGTATATCTCCCTTATCTGTGGCAATCAAAATCACAGTAGAGAAAAGGCATAATGTACTTCATTCTGTTAAACCTGCAGTACTCAAAGGAAAAAAAAATAAATGTACAATCTATGGGGTAAACCCGTTTTGAACTTCCTTTGTCAGTCTTTAGTAACGTTACGGCACACTGCACTGTCTTACAGTGAAATTGGTAAATAATTACAATAAATCTGGATACCTCTTAACATGGAAACAGGGCAGGTGAAGATTTTAAACTCGTGTATCACAGAATTACTAACAAAAAAAAAAAGTGAAATTTTTATTTTCCTATTCATCTAAATGCACCAATTTCTATATATCTTAAATATCATACTTTTTCCCATTCATCATTTAAATCTGCAAAATATACAACAAAGACCCCCAAGCACAATAAAAGGGTTCAATACACCCAAGACATTTTGCCAAGAGCCTGTATGAGTACACATTATAGTCAATATTACTGTATTTCTGTCACTTGGGGAGTTAAAAAAAAATAATTAATAAGCATTGGGATATTTTATCCAAAAAAAAATTCGACTCAACTAAAAACTTCCAGATAATCTATTTATCAAATATTAAACAAACAGATTCCATTAGGCTTACCTATTTATCAAACATTAAACAAACAGATTCCATTAGGCTTACCTATTCCCTTGCTTCTGTTTTAGTGAGAATTCTATACACACTTTTTTATGTCTTCATGTAAAAACCTTAGTTAAAGTCAATACGTACGTCGGTGATGACCACAATACAAAATGCAATTGTTTTCAAATGAGCAATGTTGCATTAAAAAAAAAAGTTATGCTTCTCTACCACCAAAGAGGATCAAGTTCAAAGAAACACCTGGTGTTTTGGTATAAACAAACAGAAACACTTCTGACATAATTGATCAAAAAATTAGAAGGATGTTGAACATGATATAACCATGACATGCTTCATTGTACAATTTAGCTAAATTACAAGACAACAAACAAGAGGGAAATTCTTTGATTCCCCAAGTGACAAGCCTCGAACGTCAGTACGGCCTGTCTAATGCCAGAATCCTGTAACTTTACAAAAGGTGCCACCTTTGCTTCTTGGTACTGGCAAACTTCAGACTTTTGGGGCATTCAAGGGAGGCAATAATGTGGCACTGGCAGCCGTCGTGGGATGCTGCTTTCTAAACAAGTCTGGGCGGCAGAGTAAACACGGTACTCCACCAATACCTGCATCCGCACTGCCATGCTGACGTAGACGCCGGGACAGTACGCAGATCTCTTAGAGTTGGGTGTGGGTGAACGAACTAGCACTGTTACTGTGGGCCAGACTTAACATGCTTCCGCTGATGCTTAGATCATCATCTGCCACTGGCTCCTGCGATGCCCGTGCAATCTCCATAGCATTGAAACCTAACTTGGCACTCTCTTCATCAAAGGCTTCGATCTCACGTGCCTGACGTTCCAGCAGTAGACGTTGACGTTCTGCCCGCTCCTCTTGGAACTGATATTTTTCTTGCTCCATCTGGGATAAAGAACAAAACTGGTTTTTCATGAGAACTCTTAGAAAATGAGCCATTTCAAATTACCCTAAAACACTAGTTTCAATAAGCATAAACACCATCTCAAGATAATTTTTATTCTTATTTCAGAAGATTAAGTGAAGATAAACTGTGCTTTAAATGAACATATTGAACAATATCAATGGAATAGTCTAGTAAGCTTTACAAATCAGGATATAACCACATCAACCCTGTCCATCCCATATTTTGTCATAACACCACATATTTGATTTAAACCAGATCTCGTACAAACTTAAAGAAAAATAATAATAATAACGCAAATTTTGAATTTAACACTAGCTTCTGGAAATAAGCGTTTAATTATATGTTTTTAAAGATTTAAATTTCAAATACAGCATTGCAATTGAGCACATTTACAAAAACTAAATAAAAATAAAACTATATGTATATAGTTTAAAAAAAGGCTGAGTACATACATGAAAGGACAACAAATAATTGGGTCTGAGAAGCTGGATTCTTGAACTAACTAACTACTTTTTAAGAGGTACCCACTTAACTTACAAACAATGTGAGGCTGTTTGTACGAGTTATATCTGTAAAACGTTTTGTCTCTAACAACACTTAACGTACAACTACATTCAAGTTGCAAATACATCTAATCAGTTAATTTGGTTTATGATACTAGCTCCCTCTGGTAACTTAATACAAATATAATGTTACTCCTGATGTTCTATTAATGATAGGTTTTAATTCTTCGATTCTTAGTCTTTCCAGAATTTTCTTTTGTTTGGGTTTTTCTCTATAATCAGTACTTTAGTATTTGTAAAATTTAATCTGTGTTGTTTTCCAATCATGTGTTCATTTATGTTTGACTCTTTTAACGTCCTTTGCATCTGATTATTATTTTCATGTTAAAATACCCAAGAAAAGAACTATATTTATGGATAAACACTAGTTGTGGGTGATAGTAGTGAAAAATTGATTAGATCATGCAAAACATGCAAACTCAATAAACACTAGTCGTGGGTGATAATAGTGAAAAATTTATTAGATCACGCAAAACATGCAAACTCAATAAACACTAGTTGTAGGTGATAATAGTGAAAATTGATTAAAACACGTAAACTCAATAAACACTAGTTGTGGGTGATAATACTGAAAAATTGATTAGATCACGCAAAACATGCAAACTCAATAAACACTAGTCGTGGGTGATAATAGTGAAAAATTTATTAGATCACGCAAAACATGCAAACTCAATAAACACTAGTTGTAGGTGATAATAGTGAAAAATTGATTAGATCACGCAAAACACAAACTCAATAAACACTAGTCGTGGGTGATAATAGTGAAAAATTGATTAGATCACGCAAACTCAATAAACACTAGTTGTAGGTGATAATAGTGAAAAATTGATTAGATCACGCAAACTCAATAAACACTAGTTGTAGGTGATAATAGTGAAAAATTGATTAGATCACGCAAACTCAATAAACACTAGTTGTAGGTGATAATAGTGAAAAATT